CTGCTGAACAATCAGCACGGCAGTGTTTCATCAGCATCAGCACACGGACAGCACCAACACCAAAGCTGCAAGTGATCTCATTCAGTGGCTTAGTATAGCTATTTAAAAGTATTGGTGAGAGGGAGGACCAAGCCCCACAGAACTGCCTGCCTGAAGCCTCATGCTGATGAATCACCCTTTCTGACAGCTGCTCGGTGTTGAACATGACAAAAAGACCATCCGTGGCAGTCCACTCCCACCCAACTCCCTCGATACTCACTCTGAAGCAGTGGTATGGATAGAAATACTGACCCCAGTTGGGTGAGCCCTGAGTACTAGACAGAGCCATGAGTTTATTTGTGCTTCAGCTGAGGACAACTTTTTACCTCTCCACCCCCCCCAATTGCCCAAGGCAACTTGCATTAAAGCCACTCATAACAAACCCTTTTTAGTACAGTCATACCCCACAGGTGACAGCTGCAGAAATGAGTAAAATCCGTCATGTTACCAAAATTTTTTTTGGTTTTGCCGGGCACTGAGGAGTGTCAGATGCATCTCCTTGCGTAAAGTTGTCCAATTTTATGGGGTCCTGCAACTGGGGTGCCGCAACTGCGAAAACCGTGGCTTGGTTATTATCAGGGATAAGGCGGGGTATGCATATTGTACCCATTCTGCAGTCACTCCATTGGCTGCCTGTTAGTTATGGGTTCTGGTCAAGGCACTGGCCATCACATACAACCCCTTCATGGCCTCGGACCCTCATAACTGCAGGACCACGTCCAGTGGGAGAGGAGTCTAAACCTCGTAGTTTTCAACCAAGTACTGTCTAGGATGGGTTTCTCAGTCATTGGTCTGTTTGCCAGAGTTGTTCTCAGGCTGCTGCAGATCCTGATCTAGGATATCAGCCTCAACTGAGAGAGAAGGACATTGGTACTCATGGTGCTTATTTTTGCCCCATCCTAGGGTGGCCTTGCTAAACACAAGATGGTATCCTAGTTCTGTTCTAAGTCCCAAAACTGGGGATCCAGGCTGTCCTCTGTTCACACGGTAGAATGAGCGTTTATCACAAGCAGCTGGATTTCTATGAACGCAGCTGATGTTACTGAAGTTCTTTTGCCTGGTTGGAAGTTTCAAGTGTTCTTGGTGGCCTGACTATTATACCATATTCCAGAACACGGCTCTTGTGTTCTTCGGTGAAGCGTGTTCAAGTATGGAAATGTCCTGATCATCTGTTTACAGCTGTGTGTGGAGTCTGTTGGAGGAGATGGCTCATGAACGTTCATGCCTAGCACAAAGATTATATGTACCTATCTCAAGGCTGCTTCTGGCAGGGCTGCCGTTTACAGTGAAGAAAGATTTGGAGGTAGTGAGACTGGAGAACTGGTTTCCTTAGAACAAAGTTTGAGTCAAGTGACACCTTTAAGCCCAACAAAGTTTTATTCAAGGTATAAGCACATGAAAGCTTATAAACCTAGGAAACCTAGGTCTCGATTCAGTCCAGGTGGATGCATTGTCAGTGAACTTCATTATCACAACTGATAATGAAGCTCAAGACAATGACTCCATCCGGACTGAATCCAGACCTAGGTCCCATCTCATTACTAGTGCTGATTTCTCCATACCTGCTTCCCTTCTGCATATCAGACCTAATCCAATCATGCCTGCTATTGTCATCTACTGTCGTCATTTGGCTGTTAATATCATTTGGCATCTGAAATCAGTCAGCTTTCCAATATATAGGACAGATGGACTCACATTCTAGCTGTATCTGAAGAAGTGAGCAGTGACTCCCAAAAGTTCATACCCTGCCACAAAGTTTATTAGTATTTAAGGTGCTTCCATCATTATTGTGAATAGATTTTTAAAACACTGATTAGTTATATTAAGCCGTTGCTTTAGTTGAGCAGTTTTTAGAATGTGTAACTTTACCCAGAATATAGATCCAGGAGTGCAGCCATGTTGGACTGAAGTAGTAGAGCAAATTTAGAGTCCAGTAACACCTTTAAGGCCAACAAAGGTTTATTCAAGGTGTGCCTGCACACGGAAGCTCATACCTTGAATAAACCTTTGTTGGTCTTAAAGGTGCTACTGGATTCTAAATTTGTTTTACCCGGAAAAGTAATCTGTCATATCCTCGGAACCATTTTTCTCGGATGCAACCAAGTGTTCTGTGACGCCTTAAGGCTTGAGCTGTTACAGGCTAGAGACAAGCAGGCCCCGAGAAGCGCCCTGGAGCTCTTGACGGCTGTGGCTCGAGCAGGTGGCCCTCCGCATTTCGGTTGTAAACAGTATCTATTAACTACAAGAGCAATGTCAAATGTGTGATTTCACATTCTTACAACTGGCTTTTCGAGTGTCCTTTGGTCTCATGTTCTTATGTTCACCAAGATGTCATAGTGTATATAACACATGTTTGTCAAAACCTCTTGCCTTTCTCTCCTTTTAAAGTACATTACAATGAAATGTATAGCCTTGTGATATCCTAAACCGTTGAGGAATAGATCCTATCTTGCAAGAGGGAAAGTCATGAGCATGTGTCTGCGTTGCTTCTGCACCAAAAAACGACTATGATGTATTTGCACAGTTCTTATATTGTGCCGCACTAGTCTTTTCTGCATTTTTTCCTTATTTTTGTGTGTGTGCAGTATTTTGCAAATCTAATTTGTGGTGGCTGGTACCCATTTAAAATGCAATTGCAGCATTAAATGACCTTGCCCTTCCCCAAGCCTCCAGTTCTCAGTGCTGGCAGACCAGCATTCCTGAATGGATCCTTTATCTGAGTATAGCCGAGAGAAATCCAATAATTAAAGCCTATCTCCCCCAGGGAAAAGAAACAGGTAAAGAATACATTCAGGTAGCTAGGGAACTACAAGTGAAAAGGAAATAACTCATCAGTCAAATGAAAAAGAAGTAACTCATCAGTCACCACTGAGAAGTGGTAGCCACTTCAAAACTACTGAGGCAGCGAGGCTTTAAAACAGGGCAGAGGCTCCCCCCACCATCTAAATTCTCCTTGCCGGGGCTGTTTCAAAGCAGTGTGCAATTCTCTGTGATGCCTCAGTATTTACGTCCTGTTCACTCATGACAGAGTTCAGTACCACTTGAAGTTCAGTGTGGAAAAGGAATCCCTCAACAGCAGAAAATGGTTATAGTGTGGAAACACCCTTGATCGTGGTCTGGTGGATCCTACTTTGATCCTATCGCACCACTGAACAAAATTTATTTATCACAGTATTTATAGCATACCTTTCCTTTTAGCTCAAGTTTGAAGCTCCCTCCAATCTAAGGAGACTTCCTCCATCTTCAGTGGCTCTTCCATTGGAGGAAGAGCCGCTGACATCGGAGAAAGGCTGAAGGAAGGATACTCGGATGATGGTTAGATCCATTCTGGTATCTGTGGCTGGCCAAATACTCTCTTTTGGAGTAAGAAGAAGCCATACTCTTCAAGTTAGTAAAGTACTATTGTGATTTAATGTTTTGCTGTTTTTCCGTGTCTGTGGCAGGCTATGAGGATGTGGTCTGTTTCATTTCCTAAATTCAACTTGACTGACAGGAAAGGGTACAATGAATGCAGTTTTGGATTCAAGCTCTAGAGAAGTAAACGTTGGCTTTGGCCAGGGTGTTAAAGAAAGATCCTACGGTGCTAATATATATTAATATGGAAAGCCTGTTGATTCTCGTTCTAATGATTGACATATTCAAACCACTTCTGTGAAATCTCTTCAAATTCTAACAGTCTAGACTTGATTTCACTTGGAGGAAAGGTGTGTCTTCTTGGGATTAGTTGCTCTCTAATTCTGAGGTGTTTAATTGTTTTAGCAAGGATAACCTTAAACTGACCTTACTAAAAATGTATCTGTATCTTCTTCCAGGACAGCCAGTAGGGGTGACTTCGTCTTTTCTGCTGACCGCCTGGTAAGTGTATCCTTCCTTGTGCACAAGCAGGAACCGTCCATATTGGAAAATGCAGTGGGTTTTTTTGCCTTTAAGCGTGGTGGTGTTGGCCGTATATCTTTGGGTAGTCCCTAAGAGGCAAACTAAATGCAGTGCTTTGATGCTGTCGTCCTACATAGGGATGCTCAAGCACCTGTCAGTTTGGCTCACTTCTGGTCTGCCAGTGGTGATCGGGCAGCCAGTTAAGCATCGGGCTCCTCACAACCTGTTTGTGTGAAATTTGCAGGAGCAGGCTACTTGTGGCCGACACCCAGACTGTGAGGGGTCACCTGGGACTTAGTCCCTGATCCCTGTGCTGAAGAAATGTTGTTTGGTTCCCAGCAAAGTTTTTTGTGGAGGAGTGTGTGTGGGAATCAGGAGCCAGCTCCCAGAGGATCAGCTGGAAGTCCAGTTCTTCTGCTCCCCCATCCCGGAATCTTTGCTGCCTCCAAAACAGGGGTGAAATGCAGCAGATTTGGAGGGGGGTTGATCAGAAGCCCACCTGAATTCTTTTCTCCCCATGCCAAGCTGTCAGCTTTGGCCACTGCAGAAAAACCAGAGATAGAAGCCTTCTGTCCTCTCCCTTTTTGCCGTGGGGGGATTAAAAACTTTGTATCTGTGCCCACCCAGTTTAGAGGGAGTGGGAAGAAAACCAAGTTCATTCTATGTTCCTTTTTGTAGATCAGAGGTTAAAAGCATTGCCTCTGTCCCTACCCAGCTTGGAGGGGATGGAGGAGCTCCCATTTCCAACGTCACTGTGTAGTTATTTTGAGGAGGACTGGATGCGAACCTAGCTGATGATCCCCGATCAGCTGTGAGCTGGCTTCTGACCAAGAGACGACTGCAGCCTCATTCAGCTGCTGTTCAGATTCCTCACTGCAAGCTGAACATGTCCCTTATCAGCTCACAGACTGATTGTTAGTTTCAAACAAAATAATTTTGCCTGCTGAACAGGTTCAGTGAGAAATTTGCAGCATCCCTAACATAAGCATGGTTAGGATTGGGTGGTTAGTACCCGACAGTAAATTCTGGGGTTCTAAACAGGGTTAACCTTTTTAATGATTGGCTGAGTTTCTTTGCCTTTCAGAAGGTCTGTCTGCAAAAGGTGGAAGAAAAAGTGGGGCCGCCCCCAGGCAAAACAAAGAAACAGAAACAAAATGGTGCAGAGGGAAGTGGACTTTTTCCTAGTTCTGCAACCCCTACGCGTTCCACATGCAGCTTCGTCAGACTTTGCTCCAGTGTGGGAATGGGGGAAAAAAGGATCCGAGAGGTTCCCCCTGACGAAGCTGCATATGGCTTATAGAACTAAGAAATATTCCATTTCCCTCTGCACCATTTTGTTTCCTTTGTTTTTCAATATGCAGAAATCACATTCTGCTTTAATAGATAAAAGCAACGATTCTGTTTGCTGACACTTTCAGGATGACTTTGGCTTACACGGTATTTAAACAGAGCTCGCTTGGTGCTACAAGTAGAGTAGTACCCCTGTTCTTAAATGGTGGACAAAGTCGATGGAGAGAGCTTTTCTCCCTCTCACAGAATACTAGAACTTGGGGAACCAAGTGAAGTTGTTGGGAAATAGGTTTAGGCCAGTTAAAAGGAGATGATTCTTTACTCTGTGAGTAATTAAACTACGTCACATATGATGCTTGTCCTACAGCAAAAAGACTCTGTTAGAGGAAGTGAAAGTCATGTCTTGGGAGGTGCTCTGCGTTATCGTTGCATTGCCTTCCAGGCATGGATAATGGCAGCAAAGTAACCACTCATGCTATCTTCAGGCATGGAAGAATGTCACACGAAGTGTCAGTTAGTGGCTCACAGCTTCCAGTGAATGGTGACTGGAGATCTTGCTAATTAGCACTGTGGTTGTGACTGCTCACTTTAGAGCTGGGGTGTCAAACATGTGGCCCGGGGACCAGATCAGGCCCACGGAGGGCTTCTATCAGGCCCGCAGTGGAATTGGCTGTCTTCTGCTTCTTCTTCCAGTTCTGCTGCTGCTGCATCATTGTAGGTTTGCGGCTTATAGATACACACCTGAACAGCGTACTCAAGATTGCAATAGCACAGACATTCTGGTGCAATAATTCAGAGCAAGAGGTGTCAGTTATCAGGCGCCTGTTGAACCGTCTCCGGAGCCCGTTTCTCCCCTAACCTAGAGATTAAAAGCAGTAAGGTGAAATTATTCTGTCAAAGTATGGGCAAAACTGGCAAAGACTATATTAAACCGGCGGCCCCTGGTCTGAAGTCTGTACAATCTCTTTTTGCGTCGGAGTCTCCATCGGACGATTTTGTCAGCGGTAAAGCGAAGGGCTTTAAAATGGCAGACAGAGAAGCCGCATCGGGCTCCAATTCATGCGGATTTACGAAGTGCGATCTTTGTGAAGTCCTTAAAAATTTTAAGAAAGAAATTATATCTGAGATAAGCGAAATGATAAAGCCCATGGCTGATCAGTTGGAGGAATTAACCACAGCAATGAACAAAATCTCCCAGACGGCAGAAACTGCCTTGGAAGCGGCGATCACCAACCAGGGAGATGTTCAACGGTTACAAGCGGCTGAGATGTGGGCAAGGGACAAGATATTTTATTTGGAACATAAATCTAGAGAGAGATTTTTAAAGTTTCGGGGATTTGCTGAGCAAGCGGAGGGTACAACTGAGGTAGCTATGTTTATTTCACACTGGCTGGCTGTGATTCTACAACTTGAGGAAGGGATAGCCCCGTTTATAATCAATGCGTATCGATTGGGCTCCCCCAGTTCGAACAAGCGCAAAGGTCCTCGTGACATTTAAGTGGAATTTGCTGAGGCGAGAACACGGTTAAAAATCTTACAAATGGCTAAAAATAAGGGCTCCTTTATATTTAACAACGACGAGATCTCCGTGTTCCCGGATGTGGCCCCAGAGGCTTTACAGTTGAGATGTAATTTGAAGCCGATTACCAAGAAACTGACAGAAGCGGGAGTTAGATATAGATGGCTGTCGTCAGGATACCTGCAAGTCCGCCTTAACGGCAACAATTACCAAGCCGATGATTTTGACTCGGGCATGGACATACTGAGGGCATTGAGGATTGACTTCTCCCCGACTGAACAGCAATCGATTAACATGAAGAAAAGAAGGCTGGAGGATCCGGACTTTCCTGCACGGTGGAGCAGGATCCTGGTTCGGCAGAGCACTATTGCCGACGAGTGACTTGACGTTCTGAGGGCTTATTTGAATGTTTTGCTTTATTATTACCAGTTAATCTTTCTGACCTTACTGACAAGTCATGTTTATGCTCTCTGGGGTTTGGGGGGGAGGAGGGCTGGGGGTTCGGTATCACAGTCCCTTTAAAGTTGTGTGTAACTAATGTTCTTCTGTGTGTACTTTTTTCTGATACCTCTCGTGGGAGGGCAATTCTTGCCCGACAAGGAGTATATCCTTGTGCTGGAGGGGGAGGGGGTGAGGGAAGGGGGAGGGGAAGGGGGGAAGGTAGAGTTTTTACATGTTTTTACACAGTTATTAGATATTATTATGGGTTTTTTTTAAAGAAGGTTCACTTCTAATTGAAACAAAGGGGGAGGGGAAGGGCTAGAATTTTTTGGTTAATATTCATGTTAATGAGGGCAGGTGTTAGATTCTTTGGAGGGTCACTTTTAGTTAGTTTATGCCCTTGTTTTATAAGGAATGTTCAGCGTATTGCAGTCCTTAAATGTAGTTGTTTGAAGGGTAGAGCTCGAAGGTTACTCAGGGTTGTTATGTCATTAATAAGCTACAAGCTAGTTGTATTGAACTCCATGCTCAGAAATTTGGTAAAGTCTTTGCCTAAAATGTATATTGGCGGGTATTATTGCAGATTTAGAGTGATAGTACTGTTTATGTGCCTGCGCTCCAAGTATGATAAACAATGGCTCTTAATAGTTTAAATATAGTATCCCTAAACTGTAGAGGCCTTAACAACAAGGTCAAAGCCAAGCGTCTATCTACATACTTTAGGCAACAAAAGACCAATGTTATCTTTATGCAAGAAACATTTATAAAGAAAGGTAGCCTGGCAATCAATTCCAAATGGTTTCCAAAACAATACCTGGCTTATGGGTCCTCTAAAGCGAGAGGGGTGGCGATACTAGTGTCCAAACACACTAGTTTTATTCTTGAAGATTCTGCCATAGATGAGAAGGGCAGGTATGTTTTTGTAAATGGTTTATTGAATGGAATACGGACCACCCTGGCCTCAATCTATGCACCAAACCAAGCACAAATGAAATTTCTTCAGGATATTCTCATGAAGTTACAATTTTTTAGGAAAGGGTCACTGATATTAGGAGGAGATTTTAATTACGCCATGAATGATCTCTTAGACAGGTCTAGTCCGCATTTTCGGTCCTTTAAGGCCTCTAAGCAAGGCTCACCCAGTCCATTTCAGAAATAAATTGATAATCTAGGCCTTTGTGATGTATGGAGGGTTTGTAATCCTAATTCACATGACTATACTTTTTTTCTTCTCGACATCAAACGTATTCCAGAATTGATATAATTACCTCAGCGGACCTGATGACACAGATTGACTCTATGGGTATTGGTAGCTGTAGATGGTCAGACCATGCCCCAGTTACATGCAGTATAAAATGGGGTCAATCAATTAACAGACCACAATGGCGTTTTAAATCCTTTTTATTGCAAAGTCCAACTATACTTAAAGAATTAGGAAAGGAACTTGATGAGTTTTTTCAACATAATGGAAATTGTGGAGTTTCGCCACATGGAGTTTGGGATGCTTCTAAGGCCATGCTTCGTGGCAAATGCATTGCTCTTTTTGCAGCCTGGGGGAAAAAAGAAAGAAGCAGTTGAGCAAAATTTATTAATTAATATTTAAATCCTGGAAAATAAGCATAAACAAACCGGATGCCCCCAAATATATACCTGGCTGTTGCACCTGCGCAAACAATTAGAATCTCTGGAAGCTGCGGCCCAAATACATTCATCGCTTTCGCTCAAGAGG